GGAAAGGAAAAGATTCACTGAGGTCATTAAGGTATGACAGCGAGAAGATGAAGAGCAGAACTGGAACTGTACAGAATCCTCACCAGGTGGGGAGACGACATCGAATACATGGAGTGCTGCTTAATGAATTCCCACAAAAATAGGAGAGACACGAGATCACAGCCACCGCCAACTCCCAAAGGGAACCCAAGGGCACATCCAACAACAAGCACGTGTTCACCAACCTCAGAATAGCGCAGGAGACGGGATGCAGACTTCACAGCAGGCACCTCTTGTCCTCTACATAACCGCAAGCAACCCTGGACCCATCACCTGGACACACATGCCTCGACCCTTGTGAGCACATGAGCATGACAGAGTAAATAGAAGTGGTTGCAATGTAGTTAAAATCAAATAACCTTGTTTTTCTGTACTGTCTCGTATCGAGCTCTTCTGCACTAGCTCACCTTTCTGCAAACAACGTCACAAGGAATTCCTGTTGCACTGGGATGCTCTGACACAACAGCACTGGGGTACAAAGAGCGAGCATACCACAGGAAAAACAACAGCCTTCGCAGGATTGCTCTCTGCTTACAGACTGTAAATTAATTTGTTTCTGGATTTGCTGAAGTGTGTTTTCACAACACTTTGAGGAGGGTAACGATTTGTTCTTGCTGGGTTTTACACAAGTTACAGCCTAGAAGCTGTTAGACTGTGAAAATGGTGACAGTTTGGGTCTGAAAGTGAATCTGAGAGTCCCAGTCTCAGCTTGCATATTTGTAAAACATACACACAGATGAGATTTAGAATTTGTACTGCAAGATCAATTTGAAAGTGCAGCTCTTGTTTGAGGAGTCTTGCAGGGCCAAATCATAACACTTGCATGAGGACAGGCATTTGCTAAGGACGTGTGAAAACAAACACATTATCAGAAATACAATTTACAGCACCCAGTTAAAGGGCCATGTGAAAGCCTCTTCCTATCCTTTAGAAAGTAAATGGAACAGAAAAGAGCAAAACTCACCAGCATCCCAGCGCAATCTCCCGCTCAGTAACAACAGCAGTCTCTAAAGCATTTTTCAATTAAATGAAAGACTTATAGAATTAAAGTTGTAACACATTATTGATCGTCTACAGAAAGAATATCTGATCAACTGTATCTAAGAATCCTTCCCAGCTTGTTCCTCTTGAATGGAGATTATACTAATAACACAACAAATAGGGAATATGAAACAGCAATTTCTGAGCCATTCCAGTAGCTGATGTTATCTCACATTGCAAGAAAAAGCGTGTTCATTTGATCCGAAGCGACGTGATGGTTTAAGACAAAATTATGAGAATATATAATTGACCATTTGCAGCACTTTTTAAGAGAAGGGCAATCTTTCTGCCTTTGTAAGAATATCATTGTTTTACTGCTGCGCAAGTCATGCTTTTGCCTGCTACTTGCATCATGTAGCAGGTACTTGAGGTAGAAAAAATTACCTAAAACTCATCTGTTTCCTTAAGTGCTCAGCAACAGATAACTTAAAGATAAGTTAAAGTTAGTTAAAGATGACAGCATACAAAGATGGATGTTTCTAGTGCTGATGTGTGTTTTATCTCAGCACTACATATATGCAGGAACAAGCACATCAGTATGATGAAAGACTTCAGCTTTATCATGGGGTTCCCCAAAATTGTTCAGAAAAACAGAAAGTAAGTACATATGTGGCCCTCTGTAGAGTGCAACAGTTCCTGAGATCCCGCAGTGAGGATCAAAAATACCAAGGAAATGTATTAATTTTCTCAGACAAGTTTTTAAAATAGCATTTTATTTTTTGAGTCAGTGGTATATTTAAAAACAATCTACCATAAGAGTAAAAAGATTGTAGATAGTAAAAAAAGAAAGTGTGATGACAATAAAAAACACTAGAGTATAAAGTTAGTTTCTTTCCTCCCTCCCAACACCCCATCCCATCATTGTCCAATGTATCTCAGAGCCTAACACCTGGAAAAAAATTGTGGTTTTTTTTTTACACTTTCAGCAATTAGGAAATTAAAAATAAGTCAGGCATTCTTTGCAGGTACATTAATTCATCATTACATGAAAGCAGGCACCATAAAAATTAAAACATTCTAAAAACCATCATATATACAAACGCTGTACAGAATGATGGCACAAGGACAAAGTGATTCCATTCAGTTCATCCTAATCCACATGAAATATTACACTTTAAAGAAGAAAAGAAAAAGTTCTTCCCATTCCTGTACTCAACCGCCAGGTTCAGAACGACCAGGAGTCTCCCGTCTCCTACTCTGTTTCTTTTCCTGTAGCTCGCGCCCGTCAGCAGCTAAGGGGTTTCCTTGCCTTACCCATTGATCAACACCCACAAGAACGGCCAACTGAATGAAAATGGAACTTACTGATCACCAACGACTAATTTTACAAAGCCCTTTAGCAATCAGTTTATTTGTAATATAGAACAATTAAAGAGAAGGCACGTTTCACACGTAAGCTGGGTCTGATTTTTAGCCCTGGGCAGAACCGTTATTTGGGGAAATCCTATGGCAGCTTCTCCTTACTGTGAAGCCTCCTCCAACGTGCACTGAATTCAATGTGAATATCGTCATCGATTCCTATATACACTGAGATTAGGTACAAAATACTCAGCTCATTTCAAACTCCACAGCTACCTAAATGCTTTACGTACAAAATATTCAACTCTCATTTTAATCTCCACAGCTATCTATGTGCCTGAAGTCATTCAGAAGAAGCAGGGAGAAGGGTTAGGAAGAGGGTTCTGTCAGTTGATAAACGCCTCCTGGTCTCAAGTAGAAATCCAGATTTCTTCCAAGTTACAGGAGGGAATAACCCCAGAAAGAGGGGTGATGTAGTGTTGTTTCCCACACACAGCTAGAAATGGATTTCTTACGGAGTTAGAGTCATTGCACTAAATGTTAGATACTGCACGCCTGAATGAGGTAAACGTTATATACCATAAAATACTTAGGGAAATGAATTGTTACAGCTTTATCTTTGGGAAAAAAAGCTTCCTTCTTCACTGGACAATCCCAGAGTCAACAGAGGTTTGCTTCCGAGTCGTCTTCGGAGGCGGAGGCGGGGGAGTCTTGCTGGGGAGCGGAGGCGGCAGGTGCTGGAAGAAACCAATTTTGATAGACTGTGTTAGCAAGGAATGGATCCTTGAAACATTTGCTGGTTCATATGTACCTGTGAGAGACAATGAGCAGGTCTGTAGCCACCTGACTCCTGAAAGCTTCTCCGCAGGAGTTGCTACTATGAATACTGAATGCTCTTGGCCATTAGCTTAAAATATAACTTCTACTTTTGACAATGAAAAAAATTCTCAAAGGTTCATGATTAATTAGCTCAGTATTTCAGGAAAAATCTTTTGAAAGCACTGGAGAAGTTTATAATTCCCCACTTTATATCATGATAGGATATTGATTTCTTGGTCTGTATTGATTGCCCTCAGCCTCTATGCGCTACAGAGCTTAAAGTCCAAGTTGAAGCAACGGCTTCATTGCTTTTCCAAAAAATGTATTTTGCACATTTAAAACACAAACAATTAAAAAAAAAAGGAAAATAATTTAAAGACAGAATTAACTTGCAATTTACTATTACACGTTCAGTTATAATTAAAATATTCAAAACAGAAATCCAGGCTGTTCAAATATACATATTTTAAATCACTTCATGTATCATACAACAGAACAAGAGCACCCTGGGTTAGATTCACCGGCTAATTGGACAAATGAAAAAAGTAATTATGGAAATTAAGACTTTTTTTCCTAACGTTCAATCATATCTATGATAACATCTGTTTCGGAAGGAGCTTGAGAACACCGCAATTTGCTCACCCACTTGGCAGTCTGGGTTTCTACGGCCTGTTGGCTAGGCAGCCATCGCAGGCTTCCCATGGCTGCGCTGAGCCTGTACTGCGGGCAGCTACTACTACTGCAAAACTACTACTTTGTTTTCCTCCAAGCATAACGATGCTTTTTCCTTTCCACTTGTTTGGGGCTCAGCGTACCCGTCCTGCCTCACCCACCCCACGCTAAACCGCTGCTCCACGTGTGTCCTGGTTGCAGCCAGGATAGAGCTGTTTTTCTTCACAGAAGCTGGTGTGAGGCTGTGTTTGGGATTTGGGATGAGAAATCGCTGATAACGCGCTGATGTTTTGGGTTGTTGCTGAGCAGCCAAGGACAGTCCAGCTCCTCGTGCTGGGCTGGCAGCGAGCAGGCTGGGGGTGCGCGGGGAGCTGGGAGGGGGCACGGCCGGGACAGCTGACCCGGGCTGGCCACAGGGGTCT